AGTATCCCCGCCTGTCACGCGGGAGACCGGGGTTCGATTCCCGACGGGAGCAAGCTCTTTTCTAACTTAGCCAAACAACTATTTGTCAAAGCCTTCTTACACAATGCCATTTTACCTCTTCCAAAGTGTTTTAAACCGCCCTCTATCTCCATGAGACTACCTATTCCACCCGCAATAAATTACTCCTGCTCTCACTACAACTTGGCTCCCCTGTCTTTCAATTCCTTGCAGTGGCGCTTCCTACAAAAGCTGAAAGGAACATCCATCCAAAAAGCACTTTTCAATTCTCGTGTACCAGCGAAAGAAACAAAGACATCCCTGCTCAGCACGGCACTTTGGTCCCACCGGGGAATTAGCTCAAATGGTAGAGCGCTCGCTTAGCATGCGAGAGGTAGCGGGATCGATGCCCGCATTCTCCATGGCGCCCTTTTCCTTTGTGACAATGGAGGGACGAGGACGTCGTACATGTCTCCACGAAATACAACGACACGTACTATTAAAAAAGAAGAACAAGAACACTCCTTGCCTCGTCCTAATACTGCTTAAGCACGTCATTTCCTCCATTCCAACATCCTCGTGTCCTTCCTGACCTGCAAATCAATACCTAGTCGCCTCCTGAAGGCCTCCATTTTCACGACAATCACACACGTCTGCAGGATTTTTCACTATCACTTGATTGTAGAGGTCATGCAATATGTTGCATCTGCCATGAAATGCTACAAATCAGCTCCTTATACAAGATGCAATGTCATGAATGAATCATTTTGCTAGGAAATTTGTCAAATTAACCCTACATTTCACGTTTGAAAAAAAAACAAGAATCCACCATGAACAGGAACGGGATTCATGAAGAACCGATTAAAAAGAACAATTACTACGATGGTTAAACTTACAACAACAACCTACCAAGTTGGTGGCTAGTGCTAAGGCCATTAAATCGTAGGATCACGTAGCTTACTGGCTAACGCGCATAGGATAGTCCTATAGAAACCAACTATGTGTTGTATGCTAGAGGGCTAACATGCTAACGTTTGTCAGTTTCATGCTGGATGTACCATTAGAAACTAAGGACGGGTAACCAGCTGTCTCACTACTGCAAGACTTCAAACTTCATGATTTATAATGTGTTCTCTGGTTACACAGAAGTAAAGGAGCTGTTTTTGTAAAGGGAAGCTGTTGATGCCTTCTCCCATGACGTTGATGGTTGAGCGATGTCTAGCGTTTGTTATGGAGAGCGTTTTGAAATGGCCGACCTAACCTTTGCTTGTCTCTTGGAGAAAGAAAGTGCAGTTTTCAAAAGAAAGGCAAAGATTAAGAAGAAGGAGGACAGTGCAAATCAGATCTGCTTTCCCCTTGCACACTGAATTTGAAGAGTTGAAGAAGACTCTCCCTGAGCCCCACTGGCCCTGTGGAGAAGTAGACAGCAGAGTTTTCCCATGAGAGCAGACACATCCGTTGTCATTTTGAAGGAGAACGTGGAGACTGTGGTCAGTCGGGGTTGAGCCCATGCTATGCTCAGCAAAGGGTCAAGTCTAGACTGCTAACACAAAGGTGCAAGTCTGTGCCGAAACCCGGATTGAACCAGGGACCTTTAGATCTTCAGTCTAACGCTCTCCCAACTGAGCTATTTCGGCCTGCTAGCAAAATGAATAATGCCTGTCCTTGGGCTTGATATTTCAAGAGTAAAGCGCTGCTCCTAAGGTGTATGGGGTCAACGTTAGCAGTAGCACACGCTGTTGGGAAACTGTTCTTATCTCTTCTCCTCTTTAGTATAGTGGTGAGTATCCCCGCCTGTCACGCGGGAGACCGGGGTTCGATTCCCCGACGGGGAGCAAGCTCTTTTCTAACTTAGCCAAACAACTATTTGTCAAAGCCTTCTTACACAATGCCATTTTACCTCTTCCAAAGTGTTTTAAACCGCCCTCTATCTCCATGAGACTACCTATTCCACCCGCATTAAATTACTCCTGCTCTCACTACAACTTGGCTCCCCTGTCTTTCAATTCCTTGCAGTGGGCGCTTCCTACAAAAGCTGAAAGGAACATCCATCCAAAAGCACTTTTCAATTCTCGTGTACCAGCGAAAAGAAACAAAGACATCCCTGCTCAGCACGGCACTTTGGTCCCACCGGGGAATTAGCTCAAATGGTAGAGCGCTCGCTTAGCATGCGAGAGGTAGCGGGATCGATGCCCGCATTCTCCATGGCGCCCTTTTCCTTTGTGACAATGGAGGGACGAGGACGTCGTACATGTCTCCCACGAAATACAACGACATGTACTATTAAAAAAAGAACAAGAACACTCCTTGCCTGCGTCCTAATACTGCTTAAGCACGTCATTTCCTCCATTCCAACATCCTCGTGTCCTTCCTGACCTGCAAATCAATACCTAGTCGCCTCCTGAAGGCCTCCATTTTCACGACAATCACACACGTCTGCAGGATTTTTCACTATCACTTGATTGTAGAGGTCATGCAATATGTTGCATCTGCCATGAAATGCTACAAATCAGCTCCTTATACAAGATGCATTGTCATGAATGAATCATTTTGCTAAGAAATTTGTCAAATTAACCCTACATTTCACGTTTGAAAAAAGACAAGAATCCACCATGAACAGGAACGGGATTCATGAAGAACCGATTAAAAAGAACAATTATTACGGTGGTGAAACTTACAACAACAACCTACCAAATTGGTGGCCAGTGCTAAGGCCATTAAATCGTAGGATCACGTAGCTTACTGGCTAACGCGCATAGGATAGTCCTATAGAAACCAACCAAATGTGTGCTATGCTAGAGGGCTAACATGCTAACGTTTGTCAGTTTCATGCTGGATGTACCATTAGAAACTAAGGACGGGTAACCAGCTGTCTCACTACTGCAAGACTTCAAACTTCATGATTTATAATGTGTTCTCTGGTTACACAGAAGTAAAGGAGCTGTTTTTGTAAAGGGAAGCTGTTGATGCCTTCTCCCATGACGTTGATGGTTGAGCGATGTCTAGCGTTTGTTATGGAGAGCGTTTTGAAATGGCCGACCTAACCTTGCTTGTCTCTTGGAGAAAGAAAGTGCAGTTTTCAAAAAAGAAAGGCAAAGATTAAGAAGAAGGAGGACAGTGCAAATCAGATCTGCTTTCCCCTTGCACACTGAATTTCAAGAGTTGAAGAAGACTCTCCCTGAGCCCCACTGGCCCTGTGGAGAAGTAGACAGCAGAGTTTTCCCATGAGAGCAGACACATCCGTTGTCATTTTGAAGGAGAACGTGGAGACTGTGGTCAGTCGGGGTTGAGCCCATGCGATGCTCAGCAAAAGGGTCAAGTCTAGACTGCTAACACAAAGGTGCAAGTCTGTGCCGAAACCCGGGACCTTTAGATCTTCAGTCTAACGCTCTCCCAACTGAGCTATTTCGGCCTACTAGCAAAATGAATAATGCCTGTCCTGGGCTTGATATTTCAAGAGTAAGCGCGCTGCTCCTAAGGTGTATGGGGTCAACGTTAGCAGTAGCACACGCTGTTGGGAAGCTGTTCTCATCTCTTCTCCTCGTTAGTATAGTGGTGAGTATCC